CTTTGCCCCCTCCACCCAGCCTCTGTCCCACCCCAGCCTTCCCCACACCACTGTCTGTGTCCATGGACAATGCGTACATGCATATAAGTTCTTCGGTCAGTCTCTTCCTGTCCCTCCACCCCCCACCCTCTAAGATCTGTCAGTCTGTTCCATGCGTCCATGTCTCTGGACCCATTTTGTTGGTCAGTTTATTTTGTTCATTAGATTCCACACATAAGTGAGATCATGTGCTATTTGTCTTTCTCTAACTGGCTTATTTCGCTTAGCATAATTCTCTCCAGTTTGGCAAAAGTGAAATCCTCTTCGAATTTCTTTTAACAAAAACGGTACTAATGTAGGTCTTTTGTAAAAGCAAAGTGGCACCCGAGGGAGCGGGAACTTTCCAACAGCATGAGATACCTGTACTTAGCACCTGCTGAGGCCCCAGACACAGGCGTGAAACTGACTGAAGTGTAACTTCCAGGCTGAATGAGCCCTCCTGAGCCCTTCTTAGCATGGCTCCAACCTGCCTTTCCAGCTTCATCTCCCACGCGCCTCAAACCACACCCCATCCTCCCCAGGCAACACCTACTTGTTAATATTTTTCATAATTACAAAAGTGATTGATATTTATTGTATAAAATTTAGAAAATATAGAAGAGTATAAACAAAATAAAAATCACCCATAAACCTATTACTTTACAGACAACCAGTTACTATACATTCCCACTTAACATTATATTGTAGACATTTTTCAAAGTCATTACATTTTTAAAAAACATTTTTAGCAACTATGAAAAGTATAATAAGCCATTTACAATTATTTTTATAATTGATATATTTGGTTTTTTTATATATATATATCTTTATTGATTTCAGAGAGAGAAAGGGAGAGGGAGAGAAACATCAATGATGAGAGAGTTATTGATCAACTGCCTCCTGCACACCCCTGACTGGGGATCGAGCCCACAACCCGGGCATGTGCCCTGACAGGGAATCAAACCGCGATCTCCTGGATCTGGGTCGATGCTCTACCGCTGAGCCACACCGGCCGGGCTGTTTGGTACTCTCTTACCACCATATTTTATATTTTCTTTTTTTTTCTTTTCATATTTTATATTTTCTTATTGTTTCTTTCCTTTTTTCTTTTTGGTCTTACAATATCTACTGCTTCCTTTGCTTTTTCTCCCCCTCTAGAGAATTGAAAGGCATCCGTTCCATGACTGTCAAAAAAAGAATCTACATTGAACTGCTTGTGAGTCCTTACGGTGCCTTTGCACCTGCTGAGAGTACCTGGCAAAATCCTTTTTAGCCTTCAAAATCTCTAAGGAGTCATCTCCATACATTCATGGAAGTGGGTATTTACTGAGGACCTAATACATGCCAGCAACATTGCCCAGGTACATGGCGGCGAGTTTGACAAAGACCCTGTGAAACACACTCCGAGGAAGCCTCTTCACCTTCCCTAGGAGCTGTGTTACTCCCTTTTTTTGGTGCTCTCATAAAATTTTGTTTGTGCTTCTATTTGAAAACTTTTCACAAATTTTGAGCCCTATTGGGTACCTTACCCACACTCAGCATTGCCCGCAGGATTCGCACAGGACCCAGAAACCAGTAATGGCTCAAAAAGTGACTGCCCGTGCCAAATGAGAAGGGTGGAGTGGACGGCCTCTGAGTTCAGTGACAATATTTTCTAAACCTGAAATTGAGGCACTTGGTTTGATAAATCTAAGGCAACAGTTGTGGTATCCCTAAGGGACTTTTGGAACTCACTTCTGCTGCTCTGGGGCTATAGTTAGTCCAAACTGTGCGTTGTGAGAAGTAGGAAAGTGTGCCCAGACGCAGCCTCGTGGGTGTCCAGCCTGCATGGGGAAGGCTGGATTTCCACACCAGCTCCGCCATTCCCGCAAGCCAGACACAGGCCTGTGGTGGCCGGGCAGATCCTTGGCCACTTTGTGCCCATTCTCTCCCTCACCTAATGACCTGACCCACCAGATCCCTTTCCTTATCTCCTGCCTGATGTCCAGTTTGACCACATGCAGTCACACTCAGAGTTCTCACCCGCCTCTCTTTTTGTAGGTCAATCTGCCTGCTCTCAGACACTGCACCCTGTGACTCAACAACTTCCTCTCTGAAAATTTCCTCATTGCCCTGGGGAAATACCAACTGCCTCTCGCCCATGTGGCTCCTTGGGCTCTGGCCTGGGCTGGTCTCAGAGGTGGCCAGTTGGGTCTTGTGCCCTCCTGTCTATCCCAGAGCCATGGGGGAAGCCCCTGGTTCTGCCAGGCTGGCGTAGGTCCTCATTTAGCTGGCTCTCACTGACTCACATTGGAGAAGGGAAGGAGCTCGAAACAGATAAACACATTAAACATGTAACAACAGAGGGTCACCAAGACTCAGCTACCAGGGCTTCTCTCCCCTACCTCATGTGCAGGGGAAGCTGTGAGGAAGGGACAGAGCACTGAACTGAAGAATCACGCTCGGGTCACAAGAGCAGTCTTTCTAGCAAGGCCAGCATTCTTTTACTGGGCCACCAACAGTTAAATCTTTCACTACCTCCCCCATTTGAGCAGAGATGAGGGCGCAGATGTTCTCAGCAGCTCCTCAGGTTGGCCTGTCCTCAGCCTCCAAAACCCTTCCTGCCCCCTCCCTCAGGCCTCTGTACTCACCACCACCCTTCACAAACCACCAAATCCTTGCATCTTGCACACAAACCAAACCCCTGAGTGGACCCACACGGTGCTGGGGCTTCTGAGAACTACACCTGCCCAGTAACTCTTCTTACCTCTGCCCGTGGGGGGAGAAATAGCTGAAGCCTTTGGCTGCCTCAGTCCATAGGTGGGGGAGAGCGGCGGCTTGGGCAGAGCGCCAGCCTAGAGGCCAGGTGCTGTCACAAGCACACCTGAGAGCACAGCTAGATGGCACCACTGCAGGCCGGCTGGCGCAGAGCCCTGGGCCCAGACTTAAAGGAGTTTCATGGGTTGACCCAGTGACTGTCCTAATCTACGGGGCCAAATGTACCTTCCAGAGTAATCCTACAGGGGGCTGCTGGCTTGTCATTTCCTTCTTCCCAGACTCTGGGGTCCCTGGGGATCCTCTGAGCAATCATAGGTGAGGAAATTTGGCACTATGGAGTCTCAGCATCTGGTTTCAAGGACAAACGTGGAGAAAAAGTGATGGAGGGAAGCCGGAAGTTTCGATGAGTGAGCTGTGGAGCCTTCAGTGGGCGTGAGTCCCGGCCTCCGTCTGGTTTGGGTGCTGGGCGGAGGTGCTGCTGCGGGTGTCGGGTGCAGGGGCTGGAAGCTCAGGGCTAAGAAGAGAGATGAAGTTCAGGGGGAAGACGCTGGCGGGTGATGAGGTTGGAGGCGATGCGCGGAGGGTGCCGGCAGCTGGCAATGATCCAGCCTCCAGGCCTGTCACTGGCAGGCGCTAAGGGGCCTCGGCGTCCCCCGCCGTGGGCGCAGCGGGCGCCTGTGGGGCCTCGTCCTCTCCGGCCACCAGCGGCTCCTCCTCCTCCCTCAGGCTGGGGCTGGACCCCGCCTTCAGCTCCTCCAGGGCCACGGAGCCCTGGCGAGACTTGCGTCTACCAAAGAAAGTGGTGAGTGCGGGCTGGCGGCCGGAGCCCTCCGCCTCGGGCACCCCGGAGCCCTTGTTTCCAGCGGGCACCGCCGCCACCACCCCGGCCTCCTCGTCGGCCACGCGCGCCGGCCCCGCCCAGGCGTCCACCACCCCGTTGCGCTTCCCGCCTCTGTTGAGCGTCAGGGCCCCGGTCCTGCGCTTCTGCCGCTGGCGCCACATCATGAGTAGTAGCAAGAGGATGCTGAGCACCAGCAGGGCCACAAGCACAGTCACCAGCAGGGTGTTATGTGTCTTCTGACCTGAATTTGGGGAAAGCCCACTGCCTGTGTTTGGGGAGGCCTCTGGGGTAGGCATGACGGATATTTTTACCCCAGAGATGGAGGAGCCACTGGTCCCCTTGGGAGTCTCCAGAGAGCTAGTCACCGTGATGACAGGGAGTTCACTGGTCGCACTGGAGGTCTCCTGAGAGCTAGTCACCGTGATGACAGGGAGTTCATTGGTCGCACTGGAGGTCTCCTGAGAGCTAGTCACCGTGATGACAGGGAGTTCACTGGTCGCACTGGAGGTCTCCTGAGAGCTAGTCACCGTGATGACAGGGAGTTCACTGGTCGCACTGGAGGTCTCCTGAGAGCTAGTCACCGTGATGACAGGGAGTTCACTGGTCGCACTGGAGGTCTCCTGAGAGCTAGTCACCGTGATGACAGGGAGTTCACTGGTCGCACTGGAGGTCTCCTGAGAGCTAGTCACCGTGATGACAGGGAGTTCACTGGTCGCATTGGAGGTCTCCTGAGAGCTAGCTGCGATGGTTCCACCAGTCCTAGTGTGAAGTTCTGGAATATTATTCATTGCTGGGACAGCAGGGTTACTGGTTGGATTAGAGATTTCCTGGAGCATTGATGACTTCCTGGTGGACACTTCCTGGTAGGTTGTTGGCTCAGATATGGAGAAGCCACCACTGGCAGTGGTGGCAGTCTCAGGAAAGGACGCCTGATTGTCTGTATAAGGATTTGAGGAAGGTGGAGAGATCTGGTGCCCGGTGCTGTCATCTTTCTCAGGGATCCTTATTATTGTATGATTGGAGGCCACTGAGTTAGGGTTTGGGTCCTCAGAGATATTTGGGACCAAAGAAAAAGAGGATTGTCTGGGTGTAGACATATCCAGAATCCCTGTGTCCACCGTTTGGGCCCAGACACCCCCAAAGAAGAGGAGAAGCAGGGTCATTTCCACAACAGGCATGAGCAGGAGTTGGGACCTGAGGGTGGGGAAGTTGGAGAAATGGAACACATAAGGAGCTGGTGGTAGGACTTGGCCAGGCCCTTCCCTCATGCCCACTTCCCTGCCAACTGCCAGGCCTAACCTGTGGTTTAACAGCTTTTTCCACCTTTCTTTTACTGTTATCAGAAATAACAAGGGAACAGATGTTGGCAGCTCCCCCATCAACTCTATCGCACAGGCCCCCTCAAGCCTTGTTGGCAGCTTGCACTCCAACAATGGCCACCCCTCCTGACCCTATTGCCTGACCCCAGTGGCTCCTGATCCTCTTTCCCCATTGCCTATCAGGGTCTTTTCAAGCCATAGGCACACTCTAGGTGTGCCCAGACCTCTGCCCCACCAAGTCATATCCCCTTACCAGATCACTTGATAAGGGCACAAGCCTGGGGCCAGGCTGCTCCAACTCCTCCTGAAGCGGGGGAAGGACTGCACAGGGCCCCGAGAGGAAACGAAGTGGCCCTGGCTCCACCCACCCCACCCCAGCATCCTGCCCCACCCCTCCTGGTTCCCACAGCTGCCATGTGGTGATGAGAGGGGCATCACTTATTCTTTCCAGGGTCTGAGATGGTGCAAGGGCTCTGGGGTCTTAGCTTTATGGGGGCAGGGAGTCTGGAATGGGGATTCCTCAGTCTTAGCTGGGAAATGGGATGGCAAGAGGTGGAGCTGGGATAGGGAAGGGGTTGGACCCGGGGTGATGGGAGTGTGTACTTGAGAACTACGGGGTGCAGGAGAGGAAATGGGAGGGAAGGGTGGTTTCCTTTGCATTTGTGGTCCCCAAGCTGTTAGGGTATGAGTAGGGGGTTCTTTATTGTTGCTGTTTTCTGACTTTCCCCTAATTTGTAAGCTTTGACTTTTGTTATGTGTATGGTTTTGGTTTTTGCCTTTCCTTCTAAAAAATCAAAACTGATTTTCATATTGCAAAAGCAGTAGATGTACATACAGGTAAAACAGGCCAATGTCAGGGCCTGGGATCCTACCCCACTCACAAGCTGACAAGTGAATCTGACACAAAGACATGAGACTCCTGGGTCAGAGACACAGGAATTCATTAGTCACCGCACAGCAAGCAGCAGGGGCATTATGTTTTCATCAGTTCCCTTTGCCCCCAAGTCCCACAGGGGCGATGCAAAGGAGCTTGCCCCAGAGCTGAGGAATTGCCCTCTTTTCAAGCATGTGGTAATGAAGCCTGTTCTTTGTCCTGAATGGGAGACATTACTTTTTCCCTTAGAGTTACTCACTGCAAACACAAACAGGAGAAGTTTGCCTGGATATAGAGAGGCCAAGACTTTGTATCCTCGGCACGCCAGCAGGAGTGTGCAGGGTGCTTGGCGCACCAGCAGGGATGGCTCTCCAACAGTCAGGAGAGCATAACATGGACAGACTCCATGCCACCACCAGGTAAACATTCGTAACAATGTCTGTGTTGACACATACATGTATTTCATTATATTAAATTTTATTACTATACTGTTCTGCACTTTTTTGTTGTTTTTTTTTCTAATCCTCACCCGAGGATATGTTTATTGATTTTTAGAGAGAGGAGGGGAGGGAGAGAGAGAGAAACATCAATTGGTTGCCCCCCAAATGTTCCCAGGGATCAAACCTGCAGCCTAGGTATGTGCCCTGACCTGAAATTTAACCTGCAACCCTTTGGTGTATGGCTAACTCTCCAACCCACCTAGCAACCAGGCCAGGGCTGCTGTTTCTTGATAGATCCATTTTCCCTGCCATCGCCCTCTAGATTCCAGCTCAACAGATGAGCACTTGACTCACTGACGCCAGCCCACCTCCCAGGTCAGCGACATGCCTTTCAGGCCCTTTGTAACGAAAGTGCTTTTGTTACTTTAAATCGTAGCCCTCTGTGGTCACTTTCAGCGTCCGCTGTCAGGCGCGGCAACAGTTGAGCTGGTGACTCTGGAGCCAACTTCCTGACCCAGACTGAGGCTCAGCCACTAACTGACTGTGTGACTCTGGGCAACAAACGTGAGCTTCTGGTGCCTGGGGCTGCTCTTCCTGAGCCCAGCCCAGGTTCACACTAACAGCACCTGCCCAGCAGCCTGGCTCTGGGGCTTCATGAACTGGGACACAGAGAGTGCTCCAAACAGTGCCTACGAGCCCACCCCCATAAAGGTTGGCTGTTACAAATTCTTGATTGTCACTTTGTGGCTTCCCTCCCTTTAGCTCTCTTGTGCCCAGTTTCTGCTATGTGTACATTGACTTCTGTAATGCTCAGGATTGATAATACTTGCCTTCTCTGCTTCGCATTGTCTAGAGCTGCACTGTCCAATACAGTCCCCACCAACCACAGGGGCTATTTTCATTTTAATTAATTAAAACTAAGGAAGATTTAAAATTCATTTCCTCCATTACAACTAGTCAGCTACATTTCAAGTGCTCAAAAACCACATGTGGCTAGTGGCAGCTGTGCTGGGTAGTACAGGATTCTTGCATCATCTCAGAAATTAGAGATCAGCACTGTTTGGTCCAGACTTTAAGTCTAAAAATGGAAAACTATTGTTTTTTAAAGGAATTTTTAAGATTACATATTGTTCAGTGTATAGCCAATAATTTAGTATGATTACTTATCCCTAATTATACATCTTTGAATTTTTCTTAGCTTTTCTAATTGCTTTTTCCTAATTCTTTGCTCCTGGTGGCCTACCTGTCCCCTGCATAACCCTGTTGCTACACAGCTTCATCCTGAGACTGGTGGGTTTCTCTCTCAGGTGGGATCCCCTGTTTCCTGCATCCACAGGCTCCTGTCATGGCTGATAGCCTCATTTTTTTTACTGGAACACATCCTCAAGTCACTTTCTAAGAAAGTGCCCTTCCTAAGAAGAAGGTAAATCTTTTAAATAGTCTTGCACCTAAATATGTCTTTATTTTATTCTCACACTTGCTTGAATAGAATTCTAGGCTAAAAATTATTTTCCTTAGAAGCTAGTAGGTGTTCACTCATTTTCTTCTAGGGTCTGAATACTTGATTTTGCTGATGAAAAGTCTGATGCTAGTCCAAGAGTTTAAAACAAAAACTGGGAAAACTGAAAAGTTCAGCCTTCAAGTTGGAAAGCCCTACTCCAATACCTGAAGCCCAGTTAGCTCTTTATTAGCTCACTCTGAAGTATGAATAAACTTTGAAGAAATACCAGACATTGAAGGAACCCGGCAACACGAAAGGAAAGCATCAAGATAAACCAACCGTGTCATCACTCTGCCACCCTCTTTCCTAACAGGCCCATTTGTTACTCAGAGGCCCACCCTCCAGGCAAACCAGGGGCACTGACCCCTCGTTCAGCTCCAGAGGAAAGTCCGATTAACCTAAAGTAATCGCTCCACCCCTACCCGTGACTGGGTCAGGAAAGGGCATGTGACCCAATGCCAGCCACAGAGGTGTAAGAAAGAGAGGCTTTTTGAAAACATCTTCCCTACTTTGTTTTTTTAAATCCTCAGCCAAGGACATGATTCCTGATTTTTAAACAGAGAGAAACAGCGATGTGAGAGAGAAACGTGGGTCGGTTGCCTCCCAGCAGTGCCCCGACTGGGAATGGAACTCACAACATTTTGTTTCACTGGATGACCCTCCAACCCACTAGCTGGGCAACCTTCCTTACTTTATTTTATTTTATTTTTTTAGAGAGAGGAAAGGAGAGGGAGAGAGAGGGAAACATTGATGTGAGAGAGAAACATCAGTTGGTTGCCTCCTGTACACACCCTGACTGGGAATTGAACACGAAACCTGGGCATGTGCCCTGACTGGGAATTGAACCAGCGATCTTTCGGTGCACGGAACAGTGCTCAACCAACTGATCCACATGGGCCAGGGCCTTACTTCTGAAAGAAAACCAGAGCAATGACTTTTCCCTCCCTTCAGACATGATTAAGGACATATCCTACAACTCTGAGAGGAACCAGCTCTCGGATGATGACAGTGCCTTGGGTGGCAGAGCAGGGAGACAAAGAACATGGGCTCCTTAAGGTATTGCAAAAGCTAGATCAACAGGCTCTGAATCCCACCTAAGTCCTTCGGTGGTCTTCCTATAAGTTGGATCTTTAGTTATTTGTAGCCAAAAATATCATAAGTACATAAACAAAATGAAAGATAATCCTTGTGGAAACAATAGAAGTTACATAAAAAAAAGAAAGAAAGAAAAATCTGATGATCTTAGAGGCATTTGAGAAGATATTGCTTCCTTAAAATAAGGACAGGATGATATGAGAAGAAATAGAGTGTGAGACTGAATTCTTAGAAATTAAAACTGTGACAATAAAATGATTGGAATATAAAATAAAAGGAACTGAAAATAAATAAATGGGACTGCATCAAAATAAAAAGCTTCTGCACAGAAAAAGAAGCCATCAACAAAACGAAAAGGGAATCCACTGTATGGGAGAACATATTTGCCAATGACATATCTAATAAAGGGTTAATATCCAAAATATATAAGGAACTTATAGAACTTAACAAAAGGAAAACAATCCAATTAAAAAATGGGCAAAGGGCCTAAATAGACACTTCTCCAAAGAACACATACAGATGGCCAAGAGACATATGAAAAAACGCTCAACATCGCTAATCACCTGAGAGATGCAAATAAAAACCGCAATGAGGTATCACCTCACACCTGCCAGAACGGCTCCATCAACAAATCAACAAACAACAAGTGCTGGGGAGGGTGTGGAGAAAGGGAAACCCTCATGCACTGCTGGTGGGCAGCCACTGTGGAAAATAGTATGGAGGTTCCTCAAAAAATTAAAAATTGACCTGTCATTTGACCCAGTGATCCCACTTCTAGGAATATATCCTAAGAAACCCCAAACACCAATCACAAAGAACTTATGCACCCCCAAGTTCATAGCAGCACAATTTACAATAGCTAAGATCTGGAAACAGCCCAAGTGCCCATCAGTAGCTGAGTGGATAAAAACGCTGTGGCACATTTACACCATGGAGTACTACATGGCTGTAAAAAGAAGGAGCTC